TCAATTGAAACCCAGAGGGTCCCCGCTAAGTGCGAACTGCTGCTATGAACAACAGAACATATGGGATTAATTCCAATAGAAACCAGCCTGACCCCCAAACTCCACTTTTTGGACGCACACATAACTATGTTGTAGTAAAATTTATCTTAACTTTATGATGGTATGAAAAACAAGTAATATGAAGAGGTTAGGGTTAGGGAAAGATAAAGTTAACATAGGAAAAATGAAGGTTACCTAGAGAAAACTAAAAGTTAGGTGGAACACTACGTAGTAGAAGAGATGGGCCGGCATACGGGATGGAGGCTGGTTCCGGAGGCAGAGGGCAGATTACTGGCCCCTCAGGTGAATCATCATTCACTAGGTGAATCAACATCACTGTCACTTTGGCAGTTGCCAGGGCTTCCCTGACAAATCCCTCAAAGTCAACTTCACTTTCACTATCACTGGCTTGGGCTGGCCGGTGGGTTGCATGAAGAACTCTGGGGTTATGCTTTGCTGACGGGTTGGCTTTGATGTTGTCATGATACACCGTGATGTACGGCCCAGCCTGCACCAGTCGGGTATGGAAGACTTCTGCAGCTCATCGCTATTGTCGCGGGAAAGGACGGACTTAATTTTTTCTGGGCAAACTCTATGGCATTAATTTAATATCAATACTATGACTTAAACTAGTTCTTCGGAGAATGACGACCTTTCTTCCTCCTCTCACTGGCGTGTTCTTCTTCCAACATCTCGTCGGCAGTCACTTCAGGATCTTTGATCACCTCCAGGATGTCTTCAAGCAGTGGTCTCGGAGAAGCCTTCAGCTGTAATATTATTGAGCGCAGCTTTCTCTGGCAAGGTCCACTGCTCGCAACAGTCTGAACCTCAACAGTCACAGGTTCACCTCCTCTCACCTGGCATGCCATGCAACACATGTCTCCATGCGCGATTTGAATCAGAAAGTAATAGTCAGAAGCAGATCCCATGCCTCCACCAAGAAGTCTACAGCTTGTTTAACGTTAAACTTCTTCCAAAATTGTTTGACGAGAAGTTCTTGAGTCACCGCCTCTTGTCTTTTGTCCTCGCCGCTTTTGCTCTCGCTGTCGGTAAGTCACCCAGCTTATTAACCTTCATCCTTGGTGTTGTAGAGTCGCTCAGGAGCTTGAACTTTGCAGAGTAATGCGAGCCACATTGCAGATCAACTCCTGTCCATGGGCTGGATTAATGACGAGTGTTGGGAGGAAGGAAGACCACTTTTACTTTGGGGTGATTTATCCATAAGTACAGTGTCCAGGTGCTGTCAAGGAGCAACAAAATATTAGGAACATTCTGTTGCTCGCGAGAATTTCTTCACGCCGAACAAAACAGTTGTCAAAACCAAAAGAGGGACAGAGAAGAGGACATCCACGCCCACGCAGGTTAGCCAGTGGACATTGCTTGTTCATGTCCATATTCTGTAGGCGCATGCTTCTGCGGGCTGTGTGAATCAATCGATAACTTGGTTTACAGGTACCGGAGGCATTGGTGGTAAACAGGACGGTGATGCGCTCTTCTGCAACTTCCGACTCTTTACCTTGCTGGCAGACTGGGACAAACAAGTCTTGAAGGTAACTTTTTCCAGAAAAAGACCAGATCTGTCCATGTTAAAACACCTGGTCGCCACTGTACTGTCCTTCTCCATAATCTCAATGAAAAACGGAGGAAAATCTCTAGTCCAGCCACACGGTCAGCACTGCCTCACCACCAATGTTGATGTTGGTGATCTTGTTCCTCTTTCTTAAACCTATGCAGCCAACCAGAGTGAAGCATTGAAGGGTCGGGCTCTGTAATCTTCAGTTTCACGTGACACTGCTACAAGATAGCTCACGTGCTGCATCTGCACTGAGCGCGGTAGTCCAACGCCATGTTGCGCCGCTACCATCCATTCAAATAACTCTCAAGCAGCAATTTTTCTAATTTTTGCCAGCACCCCTGTTCTGGCAATACCTGATAGATGAAGCACCTGCAGACTTTGTAGATTTTCATGCCTTTTGATCTTGGCTGCATCCTTTGATCGCATTTAATCGAGATTCGCTGGACGCTTACGTTACGAGATCAACTTGTCAGTTTTCCTTTCTCCAAATCTTGAACAATTTGGTACTTCACCCTGTAGAGTTTAATGAACGTCGTATCTTCAGCCATTTCCACGGAACAATGGATGCGCCATACACGGTGTGTCCTTGAGGGATCAAACTGTCAAGAAGTAGGTCAAGCATCGCCTCCTCCTCCTCCTCCCTCCCTCCTCCCTCCCTCCTCCTCCCTCCCTCCTCCCCGGGTGGTCACGCCATAATACTTAAGCCACACTAAGCCAATACAGCTAGCAGAGGGGGTAGGATGGCCAACACAGTCCGATACATGACGCCGCATAATGCAACAAAGACACACACTGCGCAACCTTATGCGCTTGCCTGCGGGAGGGAGGAGGAGGAGAGGAGAGAAGGGCTGGGTGAGCGGGCAAAATCTAAAAATAGCATCTCGAGCCGGACCCTCACCGCGTATGTGGAAAAAATCCGTGTTAAGTGAAAGTTCAGCTCTGGCAAGGCACCGCGTATATGCGAAAACGCGTTAAGTGAAACCGCGTTAGGCGGGGTAATACTGTACTGTGTAATTCGTAATATAACTTGAAAATAAAAGGATAAGCTGTATCAGAAGGTTTACTCAGATGCGTTTGTGTGAGATATTTAGTTCAGTAGACCAGCTTACAACAGGGGTCACCATAACACACTGTAGTATAGTATTTGATATGTAGATACCTTTTTAAAAACGTTATTTACTGTTCTATGATGACTCAGTTTGGCTGCTTGTACGCTTTGACAAATGATTACCCGGTAATGAATAAACCAGGTTATATGCAGATGCATAATACTGTACAAATACAATATTACTTAGTGATGATAAATACACTACAATAGTATTTATTGAGTGGTGATAATTACACTGCAATAGTATTTATTTAGTGATGATAAATACACAACTGTACTGTAATAATTTACTTAGTGTTGAAGACAGACATTGTGGTAAGCCGATCAGCTGTGTGATCTCTGTAAACAATTACTCATGGTATTCAGAGTGGGATTCTTTTTTCAGGAAAGCTGGGTTTTTTATAATACTTTATCAACCTGACACCAAGTGATCCTAAATTATATGAGAATTGTGGTGGAATCACATAAAGAAGCGTTAAAGAAATTTTGTGGGAGAGAGGGGGAGGGAGCCACCCACCCATGCTACCCCCCTCTCTTCTGTCAGCTGCTCCCAGATAAATAATCATCTTCCACATATAATATACTCCAACACTTATTTGTTTTTATGTTTATCTTTATAGCACTGTACAGTATACAGTTTTCTCTCTATTCATAAGACATATTCTGTGGTTACTTACATATAGCACTTTACAGTAAATAACCCATCATCTCGGTGAGAACAGTTGTTGACAACCAGATTTCCATGTCTGATTTTCAACCCAGGGAGTTCTGTTTCATATTTGGTTTTTATTGTTGATGTAACAGTGTTTTAATAACCTTGTTATACACTTTAAAGACTTTAGTTGTTGCAGTGCAGTAATAACATAACAACAGATTTTCTTTTAAGCAGTTCAGATAAGTAAAGCATCTCCACCCCCCCCCCCACCCACTCCATATACAGTAGTCTCGATACACGTGGATTTCCTTTATGCGTTTGGTCATTTATGCGGCACCTGGCCAGAGCGGCTCGGGCAGGGTGCGCACTAGGTCGCCCAGTCAACAAAACATTACCGAGTTCTTCACCCACCACAGCCAGCCCAAGTCAGTGATAGTGAGGATATGGACTTGAGGGGTTTGACAAAGAGGCTCTGCAAGCCTCTGGTGGATAGTGATACAGGTGAGGGCCAATAATCTGCCCTCTGCCTCGGAACCAACCCCCTATCCCCGTGTGCCCAACCATCTCTTCTATCATCATAAGTGTTAAAAAACCTAATATTATTGATATTTCTCTTAAATATTAATTGTGTGTGCATACCATCATGAAATTAAGATGTTATTTTCACTACAACGTACGTATTGTGTCGGAAAAAGGGTAGTCTGGGGGTTGGCCCAGTCTCTATTTCAATTAATCCCATATGTTCTGTTATTTCGTATACGCGTTTCTCATTTTACGCGGACCTCCACGGGTTTAATTGACCGCGTAAACCGAGACTATACTGTATTAAAATTTTTCGGACTGGGCTGTGCCCCAATTAGTCCAATTTATCGAGGGTCTACTGTATATGCAAATGGCGACTGTGTTAAACATTCATTTGGCTTTTATTTATTGGCAGCATTATTTTTATTTATTCCTCACATTTACTGGTACTGCTAAAAGGGGGATTGCGTCCTATATTGCCGTGCAAATTATGTGCCATAAAATACGGTACTATACCAGTGCAGTGTTATAATGACCCCATTGTAAGTTGATGTGCTGAAAGCTCTCTCTCTAGGAACACATCATGTGCAGTAAATGTTGGAATGTATTTGTAGTGGAGACTTTTTTAAAAAAAACAAGGAGTCTGTGGTTGCAACTCAGCCTGTAAGATCTCCCGATGTCAACGCCTGCAACTAATCCTCTGGGTATACCTTAAGAGTAAGGTTTATGCCAATTGATCAAGGAGTATCTGAGTTGAAGCAGAACACAAGGGCAGCAATACCTCTATAAATGACACATCGAGTAATGGGGAATTTTCACTTCCAACTGCAACAATGTGTAAATAACAAAGGATGCCATTTCACTGATGTAATTTTTAAGATGTGAATCTTGTGTATAAAATGCCTTGAAATGTAATACTGCAGTTCGGTTAATAAATTCAGGTAAAAAGTCATTACCGGTACTTTTTCTTCTTCAAAACAGTCGGATTTCTATGTCAGACCCTGTATAATGATTAATGAAGACCCTGTACTGTAATATGTTTTTGAGAAGTTTATTAATGTTGCATCACCAAGAACATTCATGAATTTTACCTACCACAGATGGTTTATGGTGCTACAAATCTGTCATTACTCCCAGATGGTGGGACAAAGCTGCAGAAACAGATACTTCAGTTGGAGAAAGATATAGCTCAAAAGAAGGGCATTACTGTGCAACGGTAAGTACTATAGAAATTTTGGTTTTAATACTGCGTTTAAGTTAAGATTCACAGAAAACCTACCATAGTGTTTCCTTATTTGCTGTCCTTTAAGATGTACCCCTCCCCCCCCAAAAAGTCTTGCATCTTATACTTAAATATTACCAAATATTATCGGGAAAGGGGTGGCCATTTTCAGCCTTCAGATATGTCTATTGAACTTTGTACAAATTAAAATATTGTTACTTTTGTATAACAAATATGAAATACAGTAAGTCCTCGCTTAACGTCGGCCTGCTTAATGTTGTTTCTGTACTACGTTGCGAAACCTAAAAGAGACCACAAATTTGTTTAACATCCCGGTGACTCGGTACAAAGTCATTTGCGTCGTCACAGACTACTTTTTACAGCACATCACCCTCTCTCTTAGGACAAATATTTCATTTACCTTTTTCAAAATATGTATTTAGGATGGTGTGTGCATGTAAATGAGTAAAAATAAATGAAGAAAGTTACTATATCTACTGGAAAATAAGTTGAAAAAACATGTACAGTACTTAAGGGACTAAAATTTTTATCTCTTGTACAAAATATATGTCTATATTCATATTATTCACTGTCTTGCAAGGATTCCAGCAATGCAATTTATATTCTGTTAACTTTAGTCTGTGCCATTTTATAAGATAAAAACTTTTAAGCCTATAAAACCATGTCACCTGTACCAGAAGTCAGAGGGGAGTTGATTTATTATGACCGCTGGGCTGGAGCACAGACAACGGTTACTTTGTGGTATTTATTTATGTCTTGTAGAGACGTTTTAAGTTTTTCTCTTATAAATCTCAATGAATGTGACTTTATAGTAATGCATACAAGCACCTCACCAGGCATCACACAAGGAGCTTTGAATTTATGTACAGTGGTCCCTTGGTTAACGAACACAATTCGTTCCAGAAGGTCGTTTGTTAACCAAAAATTTCGTTAACCGAAACCATTGTTTCAATGGGATTTTGGGTAATTGGTTCCAGCTCACCGAAAATTACATACAAAGTAAAAATAAATGCAATAAAGTATACTTACTTTGAGGTGTGCATGTAGAAGGCTCCTGGTTGATGATGATGATGATGATGATGATGATGGGAATTAGAGCTGGGGGTGGAGGAGAAGGGAGAAGAGAAGGAAGTGGGGGTGGAAGAGAAATCACCCCATGCTTTGTGCCGTCATTTCACCCATAAAATTTTAAGTTCACTAGGTGTAATTCAAGATTATTTTCTGTATATCAACACTGCACTTTATTATATATTGTCAATATGTAAAATAAATTTCAGAATGACCAATAATTGTACTGCAAAAACGTAAAAATAGTTTATGTTCAAGAGAGTCTCAAGCAAGATGCTTCCTCCTCTGAGCAGACACAAACTGACAGCATTCTGGGTGAGTCAAGTGGCTGTTTGGCGCGCTAAAAACTAGTTCCCTGTACTTCATTTATGTTAAATAATTGTTAAAATGACTAAAAATTTTAACAAGACTTGGAAAATTATTGAATAGTACAACCTTCTTGATATTTACTCAAATGGTAACAAATTTAAGCACTAAAACTGATTACTGTATTGGCGGACTAATACTCCAGCTGGTGAGTAGGCGAAAACATGTTGACACGATTTGGTAAGGATTTCATTAATCAAGTTGAAGATTCTTATGGAAGGTAATTCATTAACCGAAATTTCCTAAACCGAGGCGTTCGTTAACCGAGGGATCACTGTATATGTAATGTATTTCATGGGGCAAAGGGAGGCTCAATAACGTAACTATCGTATTTTATCTATTTCTTGTGGGGAAAATTTATTTGCTTAACGTTGTTTTGTATAACGTTGCGTTTTCAGGAACGTAACTCCGACGTTAAGCGAGAACTTACTGTACACCCGACCCTCTCTTTATGCTATGCGACAACACAGCATAATGGGAATCTGCATACACATTAGTGAATACTTAATCTTATGGGGAATATTAGGATATGTTCGACAACTACTAAAGTCAACAGTAATGCTGTAAAAGTTGTGAAAAAATCGTTACAATACTCAAATGTGGCTTAGAAATATTTATAATATAATATAATATAATACAGTATACAGTAATATAATATAATATACAGGGTACAGCGATATCCCCGTTAACCGGAACAATTGGTGCAGAGCATTTCCGAGGATGTAAGATTTCCAGGTAACAAGACCACTTTCTCAAACACAGAAAAATTCCTTATTTCAGAATCTTTTCTGGTTACTGGAAAAAGTTTACAATTGTCTAAACTAAACATTTTGCACACACAGACACTAGCCCACATCCCCAGAACGTTTCTGGGTGCTGGAGATGTTTTCCTTGAGTCTAAAATACTGGAATCCATAAATACAGTTCTAATTAAATTAGAAACTTAATTTCTTTACTATAATAATCCAGAATAGTTTATCTAAAAGTTTGGTTCAATAAGTATATTTAAAAATTAAAAATCTATAGGATATGGGGATGAATGAAGCTGTGTGTTACAGCAGACTGTTATTTTCCACTCCCATGGAGCTGTGAGGGATTAGTGGGTCTCATGTAACTGACCTGACCTGATGCAATGTCAGGTGGAGGTAGGGTGGGGGATTAGTGGTCTCATATTACTGACCTGATGGACTGTCAGGTTACCCTTTCTTGGGTGGGGGATTAGTGGGTCTATAAATGAGCAAAGTTGTATCCCTTGAACATTACATTACATAACATTTTAAAATATGGAGTGAAAAAGTAGAAAGTTGTGGGTGATTACAGAGATGGAGTGAAAATGAGTGTTGCCAAGTGCTCCTCAACAGCTGATATTTAACTCGCTACCGTGCAGTCACACACACGCAGATGTGTTTAATTCCCTTGCTGGAGGTGTGTGTGTGTTCATAAGGTTTCAGCGAAAGGCAACCGGATCCATAATAACAAGTGTTCTTCAATAAACTTTTATCTATATAGTGTGGCCGCCCAGGAAGGTTGTTATATATATGACAACTTCACAAGTAGTTGTTATATGATGGTAACAGTCACCTAGCAGTTACACAGTTGGTAAAGGTAGAGATAATTTGTTCTCCCCATTACTGTGTTACTATGTTACAAAGAAGAAAAGTTACAAAGGACCAGTCTCCAGGCTACAGATAAGCAAGTGTACTCCAAGTAACTCTGAATTTTTTTTTCCTGAAAAGTTTATTTTCTAGTGTACATGGATTACAGTATACCGTCGAGAGAATCAATGGTTAAGGCTAGTTCAGGGATGTGTGTGTGGTTGTGTGGTTGTGTGTGTGTGTGTGGGTGGTTGTGTGTGTGGTGGGGGTTTAATAATAATAATAATATAACGGTTTATTGAAAATTCTGCAGCCCGAAGGCTGAAAATATACATTGGACATAAATGACTTATTACATACATTGGTGGTTTAACAAAAGCCTTCATTAGAGAAAGGTAAAGGAACATACAGTGAACATACAGATTAATGTAGGTGTTGAACAGCAAACTCGTAGTGTAGTAACTCCCTCCCAGATGGTGTTAGGAGGAACTCACGTGGTGTAGTAGTTCCCTCAGATGGTGTTATGAGGGACCTGGCGTGGTGTAGTAATTCCCTCGCAGATGGTGTTATGAGGGGCCTCACGTGGTGTAGTAATTCCCTCACAGATGGTGTTATGAGGGACCTCACGTGGTGTAGTAATTACCTCACAGATGGTGTTATGAGGGACCTCACGTGGTGTAGTAATTACCTCAGATGGTGTTATGAGGGGCCTCACGTGGTGTAGTAACTCCCTCACAGATGGTGTTATGAGGGGCATCACGTGGTGTAGTAATTCCCTCACAGATGGTGTTATATGAGTGAGGTTTGGTCTTAGGCCTTCCTATCGTAGACGGATTAACACATCGCTGGTTGTTGTTGGGTCTCACGGGCCGTTATCATTGGGTACCTGGGACCTCACTGTGAAGGTTAACTTAGGTAAGACTGTTACTGTTGAGTTGTTCTCACTGACTTAAGCACTGTTCACCACTGTTCACCTCTGTTTAACACTGGTTCCGTTCCTTTCCTAAATGAAATTGTAACTTCTGGCGAGAACTTGTTGATATTCCGGTGGGGAGGAGGGTTCAGGGGAGGGGGTTGGTATGGGCCAACTTAACAGTTGACCTGGCTGCTCCGAGAGGAGCGCCAGGTACGTCTTGACCCTTCGGGGTGTGTGTGTGTGTGTGTGTGTGTGTGTGTGTGTGTGTGTACAATCAGAAAGGGATGATGGATTAGTTGGAAGTGTATCCGTAAAGAAAAACAAATATTTACTTTATACGTTACGTCAATGTTTGGCAACTATAGTTTCCGTCACGACAATATTCTCATTAGGCTGGGTCGGGGAGTGAAGCTCTGCTCACTACATTGAATATTATTTATCACTACACGTCAAAGAGTACATTACAAATCATACTAGCATAAAAACACACTGAGTGAAGCTCTGTAATTATCTCAATATTAAGTAACACTAACCACCGATTTCGAAGCATAACTCACGGGACAAAACATATGGGGATTGGTGGTCACACTGGACGGTGCGAGGCGGGTGGAGGCGGGGCGGGTGAGGCAGAGCGGGTGAGGCAGGGCGGGTGAGGCAGGGCGGGTGAGGCGTAGTTAAGTGTAGTGGGGAGGAGCCGGCGGCGAAGGGTCTCCTTGCATTTGCCCTCGCTAATGTAGGGTCAGGTCTGGACTTTTTCAGAGACTATAAGTTGTATATTCTGGAGAAATCTTCAGATGGGGCCGTGTGACATGAGAGGCCCTGGTTGATTTGTGGCCCCTTGACTTGGGCTCGAGGGTTACATTTGACCTGGCTAATGTGAGGTCAGGTCTGGACTTCTTCTGCGGTGTAGGTTATTGTGTATATTGGGAGAGAGTCGGCCGATGCCTTCTTACATGTTTGTTGGGGCCGTGTGACATGGGAGGGGAGCCAGTTGATTTGTAACTCCTTGAGTGGTTGCGAGGGATACCCTTACATTTGACCCCCCTAATGTCGGGTCAAGTCTGGACTGTTTCTGAGATGTAAGCTGTGGTCTGACAACCCATCACTACATATATATATATATATATGTATGTATGTATGTATGTATGTATGTATATACTGTATATATATTTCAAGTAAATGGAAAAATTTTACTCGACACAGACACTAGTTCCAGTTACCGGTAAATAGCAGACGCTTCAGTTACGTCACTAGTGTTTACACTACACCAGCGGGTAACATTTGATGACATTACTTGAAGTGAATTGGCTTTATTTTAAAAAACCAAGGATGGTTGGTAAAGGACTACTGAATCAGTGGGTAAGTGTCACATTTGGGGGACTGGTCTTATACAGCGAATAGAGCTCAAAAGCTACTTTTTAAATGGAAATTTGGGGGGGCCGTCTTATGCACCCCGACGCCTTATAGGCCGAGATATACGGTAGTTGTATATGTATGCGCTATTTTCTATAGAAATGTTAATGATTTTCTGTATATGTAACTATTTTCATGGGGCAAAGATGAGGCTCAGGAACGTAACTCCCGTATTTTATCTATTTCTTATGGGGAAAATTGATCCGCTTAACGTTGTTTCGTATAACGTCGCATTTTTAGGAACGTAGCCCTGACGCTAAGCGAGGACCCCATGTATTTGTATCACTTATGAAACTTGTATATTATTTGTGAATCAAGAGACCCATTCCCCAATTATGCAACTGTATATTTTCAGCCTTCTGGCTGCCATGCTCTTTCAATAAACCGTTAATTATTATTATTATTACACACACGGGAATTAAAACAATATGCATCCAGTGAGGGTCTTGTTGCGTGACTGCATGGAGGTGAATTAAAAGATCAGCAGTTGAGCTTATTGCTTGGCAACACTGGTGCATGTTATCACTCCTTTCCACTCCATTTCTCTAAAATCACCCACACCTTTCTACTTTCTCACTCCATATTTAAAAATTTTATGTAATGTTGAAGGGATACAACTTTGCTCATTTATACTTATCACAATCTCCCTAAAAATAATTTAGCTTTCTTGTTTATTCAAGACATCTTCAGGTCATGAGACCCACTAATCCCCCACCCAGGAAAAGGTGACCTGAAATTCCATCAGATCAGTAGTATGAGACCACTAATCTCCCTCCCTACCTCCACCTGACATCGAGTCAGGTCAGGTTCCTTAAAAATACTTTAACTTTCGTCTTTATTCAGGATATTTTCAGAAAATGCTCTCGATTTTCACCCTCGGAAATTTTTTTCCCAAAGCCGGAATTTTCCAAAAAATTCCGGGTTTGGGATTGATTTTCCGAGTAAATTTCAATTCCGGCTATTGGAAATTTTTGGGTTTGAGGGATTCCGGCTAACGGAGATTTTACTGTATAAGTTGTCTTGTGTTAGCCAGTATAATTCGTCTGGTGTTAGCCAGTATAAGTCGTCTGGTGTTAGCCAGTACAGGTATAAGTCGTCAGGTATTAGTCAGTCTAATTTGTCTTGTGTTAGCCAGTATAAGTCGTCTGGTGTTAGCCAGTATAAGTCGTCTGGTGTTAGCCAGTACAGGTCGTCTGGTGTTAGTTACATGTAGTCTAATTTGTCTGGTGTTAGCCAGTATAATTCGTCTGGTGTTAGCCAATGTAAATCATCTGGCTTTTGCCAGAATAAACTATCTAAATTCCACTTGCCGAAGCATGTGACATTGTGTGTCACTTGTCGATGTTTTGGTGTTCACCTCGTGTGTTATTGGGTCACTACATTGGAAACAACCATAGGTGGTAGACACAAATGTTTCCTCTGGGAAGGTAACCCGGTTCAGTTTTGTGGATAACAACACAGGCGGGTTTATAAATGAAATCAATGTGAAATGTTGTTTGATACATTTTTAAGGGATCTTACTGTAAAATTTATTTATTTTTATATAATTTCAATCTCATAAGTTGTTTAATTTGCATGTTTCTTGTTTTAACAGATTTGAAGCTCGACCTCATCAAACTTCAAATGACACTGTTCTACGTACTGTAGACGTAGTGTCGGCAAGCAAAGAAGTGGAGAGTAAATTGGATGTTGCTAGAAGAAAACTGAAGGAAGTTCAGGTATTTTTTATGGTCTTCTCACCCAAATAATTCAATACTGTAGAATTATACTTAAGCCTTAATCTGCCAAGGAATTGTTACTGATTGAACAGTAAAATAACCGTTTTACTTTCCATTGATTGTTTTCATTTCTTCTCAGATGGGAAAATGGTAATTAAGCAATCAAATTATCATCCTCATATCTGGGGGTTGGCAAACACAGCCTCCATTATTATTATTATTATTATTATTTTTTTTTTTTTTTTTTTTTTTTTTTATTATGGGGATAGCCCAACCGAGCCAAAGGGGCAAAAAAAAAAAAGAGTAAAAAGAAATTAAAAATAGAAAAGAAAGGGATTATATTAATCTACACCACGAAGATGTTGGAAAACCAGTTTCTTAAAGTGAGACAGATTGTATGAGTATGGAAACACAGAAGAAGGAAGAGCATTCCACAGTTTGGCTGTGTAAGGAAAGAAAGATGTACTATAACGGTTTATTCTAGTGTGACCGACATCCACACAAAAACGGTGGGCACCACTGGCAAGACGAGTGTTACAAGCCTACGGCCTTGCCAGCGGTACACAGGATGCCAAATCCACTGATAATTGCTCGTTAAAGTACCTGTAAAAGAGGGAGAGTGAAGCATCATTGCAGCAAAGAGAAAGGGAAGAGAGATTATCAACTAAAGGAGGTGAGTTAATAAGAAGAAATGCCTTAGAATCCACCCTATCTAACAGTTAGGCAGAAGAAGAGCCACCCCAGATATGATAGCAGCACTCCAAGTTAGGACGAATGAATCCCTTATAAACTTAAAGTAATTGCTGAGGAGTGAAGTAGATACGGCATCTGTACAACATTCCCAGCTTTTGGGAGGCAGCGTTAGCTGTGTTGCGGATGTGTGACTTCCATGACATATTAGAGGAAATGGGGAAGCTTAGCATAACTATTTTAGAATTTGGGAAAATGGTTGTCCTGAAATGTGATTGGTGGGAGATATTGTATTTTCGAAAGTGTAATTTGGCAAATACGGTGATTTATTTTTATTGAATGTGACCAAATTTCTTACTCCCCATTTGGAGATGCTGCACAGGTCCTTGTCGATAGAAGAAACGATGTCATGACAAGAAACAGATCTACTTCGAGAGTTAGGGGGAAGGGAAAATGAGAAGAAGAGTAGGATCATCAGTGTAAGAAAGGATAGAATTAGTAGTAGTGTGAAGTAAATCATTGATAAAAAGAAGGAAGAGAGTAGGTGAAAGAACAGACCCTCGTGGGACACCACTATTGGTAGAAAAAGAGCGAGAGATCGATATCCCGTCAACAACTGTCATGGATAGGTTCTCGAGGAAGTTAGAAATGAGAGAACAGAGTGGAGGAGAGAAACCATAAGAGGGAAGTTTAGAAAGCAAAGACTTGTGCCATACACTGTCAAATGCATTGGCGATGTCAAGAGCCATGATAATGGTTTCCCCATAATCCCTTTAGAGGATGACCTGAGGTGGGTGCAGTAGGAGAGCAGATCATCAGTAAATCTCGCCTGGCGGAACCATGCTGGTGATCTGACAAAAGAAAAAGGTGTTCAAGGTAACGGAGAAAATGAGATTTTTAGCTATGCTGGTTGGGATGAAAAGGGGGATGGATGTGTTTTGGGGGGGAAATTTGGAAAACAAACACTGCCAAATAGAAAAAAAAAAGATGCTTGGGACTGAGTTTTAAGTGAGGTGAATTTTGTGGCTCGAGTATCAAGAGATGTTGGTGAAGTTTGGTGAAAGTTCATTGATTTAAGGATGTCTTAAGAAAAAAGCAACTCGAGGAATTTATTTGTCTTACCTATTTCCCACAACTTAACAAAACTCTTATTGTACAGTAGGATCTTGTATTTCGTGAGTAATATAGAATGGAAAATTTGTGCCAAATTCAAATTTGCCAAAAGCAAATACAGCTAGACCCCGACTTACGACGGGGTTAGGGACCCAAATCCGGGTCGTAAGTCCGACATAGATAAAAAAAAAATAATAATAAAAATTAATAAAAAATCTACAATGAAATACAATACAGTAAAAGTAATAAATAATGAGGAATGGATACAGTACAGTGAAAGTAATAAATGATAAGGAATGGATACAGTGTGACTGAGCACTTACCTTTAATGTAGTCAGCTGAATGCACATGGGGCCCCCATAATTTTCTAATTATACATGGAGACTACATTAACTGGAAACGTTTCGGTATAGAAAATGCGTGCGTCATTTGGAAAAAAAAAATATATTTTTTTAATAAAAAATCTGCGGCGGTCGTAAGTCGAAGCAGTCGTAAGTCGGGGTCTAGCTGTACATAAACTAATGGGAAAAATAACAATATACTGTAGACTGGTCACTCTACATCAACCTCTGATTTTCCCATTTATAGCCTCCAGATGATAAAAATTCCTCCTTTATTGACCTGATTGTGCTTTCCGGAAACTAGTTTTTAGGCCTTCCTCAAGTAATTCAATCACACGCTGCTTATCCTGGATCGAGTACTTGGCAAACTTGACTCCCTTATGATAGTCCCGCTTCTCCTTTTCCTTATTTGGCCGCTTAGGTGGGTCGGTCCCACCCCCACCAGCACCAGTAGGACCCCCAGTAGAGGTAGAGGCCATTATCTTGACTCGACAGGCTGTAGCACCACCCAAAAAAGCACAATAACAGCCCGGGCGGTCGCTAGGATGGCGCGGGCTACAATGCGATAGTTGTGTTCTTGTAAACCTCTTTTATGTTCACCATCTGCAATTCGATCACCAGAACGCTTCTTGGAAACATTCTTCTTACCTTGTCTTTCCATATTCATCGCTAACGCAACAATATTGGAGAAAACAGCGAAAATCACGGAGCAATTGACAGAAACCACGCGATTCAACTGAACACGTGATGTAAACAGAGAGCGCTGGTGTAAACCGTTATTAGTCCCCATTGTGAAACATTCTTTTTACTTATTCTTTTCATACAGTCCAGTGGTCCCTCGGTTAACAAACACAATTCGTTCCACCGAGTCGTTCGTTAACCGAATCCATTATTTCAATGGGATATTGGGTAATTGGTTCCAGCTCACAGAAAAGTACATACAAAGTACTGTAAAGCCAAAAATGCATAAAGTCAGAAACACTCCTAAAATTCCCCTAAATCGCCCTTAAATCACTATATATATACACGTACATATACATTCTTACTCTTAAATCACTACTGTAATGTGATGCAGGTGATAAATTTTTATCTCTTGTGCAAAATATGACGTTTATATTCAAATTGCTGTCTTCCAAGGATTCCAGCAATGCAAATTATATTCTAACTTTAGTCTGAGATATTATATAAGATAAAACCCTGGCTGGGCAGAGGGAGGGAGGGAGCGAGCGTGGTGGGGGGGGGAGAGGTGAGGTGATACGTTTGACAGTTGGCGCCCAAGGTCTAATGTGTGTTTATTTATCAGTCCTTAAGTGACTCAGCTTCTCTCTTATAAAATGCCACTGAAATGACCTGGGTGAATATAATTTACATTGCTGGGATTCTTTTAAGATAGTGATTAATTTGAATATAAACAAGCTATAATTTGCACTAGACATAACAATTTTAGTACCATAATCAATTTAGTACATGTACACTACAGGATTGCACTTAGGTCATTTATTTCTTTTACGTTTCTTTTAGTATGGTGTGTGGATATAAATGAATGAAAATAAATGAAGAAATTTATGTAAATCTACCCAAAAATACAGTTGAAAAACTTTACAGTATAAAATGTACTGCCGTACTGTACACTAATGTACTAAAATTTTTATCTCTTGTGCAAAATATATGACGTTTATATTCAAATTATTCACTGTCTTGCAAGGGTTCCAGCAATGCAAATTATATTCTCCTAACTTTAGTCTGTGATATTATATAATATAAAAACTTAAAGCCTACTGTATAACCACCAAGCCCTTGCTGGGAGGGGGGACAGTGACATGTTTGACAGTTAGCTCCGAAGGTCTAGTGAAGGATTAATTTGTTTATTTATGTCCTTTAGATTGAGATTTTGTTTTTGCTTATAAAATTTCATAGAAGTGACCGGGGAGAATATAATTTACATTGCTGGAATTCTTATAAGATAGTGATTAATTTGAATGTAAATATACGATAGTTTGCACTAAACTAAAATTTTAGTATTCATTTTGTACATTATTTTGATTACATGTACATACAGCTTTGCCCTAAGGACAGTGTATGCATGTAAATGAGTTTCAATAAGTGAATAAAGTTACATATATTGAGCTAAAAATAATAGTTGAAAAACTTTATGGAGACAGAGCTTGGATGGCAAAATTTTAAAATGACCAATAATTTTAATATAAAAAATGCACAAATATTAAAGAGCACAATTTTCTTGATATTTACTCCACTGGATACGAATGTAAACATAGAACAGATTACTGTATTACTGAATTGGCAGACTAGCCCATCAGCTGATGCTCACAACAAAACGTGATGTTCGCAAGGATTTCGTTAATCGAATTTTTGTTCGTTAACCTAATTGAAGATTCTTATGGAAGGTAATTCGTTAACCGAACCAGTCGTTAACCGAAGGACCACTGTATTTATGGGTAACAGCTAAATTTAAAAAAATAAATAAATAAATAAATAAAATAATTTACAGAGTACCTCTCCAAAAACACTTCACAAACAAAAGACATTAATCAATTGAACATGTGATGTCAAACGTGAACTGTAAACATTACATAACCCCGCGCCTCGCCACCCTTAAAACGTTGAGGATGGAATCGCTTTATAGCCAACATTCGTATGCAAAATTCCTCGTTTTACAAACGGCGTTCCCCTATTCATCAATCGCGTTGCAACCACTTCGCGTTGACAAAACATGCGTTATAGCAGAAATGACTGTGCTGGTATAAGGGCTGTAACGTCATTCAAGATGGTGGCCAGCATTCAGCTTGCTGGATTGCTCGTTCAGCTGGCTGGATCTCGCAAAATTCACGATATTTTATGCCAAATACATTAGGTAGTGCTCGCGAAATTAAAAAACATGAAATAAAATCGCACGAAATATGAGATCTTACTGTATAGTATTTCACGTAAAGATTATAACAAAATTTGAAAAAAAAAAAAAATATAAGTACAATTTGCAAAAAAATCTTCATCAAACAGGGAGGTAGACCCTGTTGCCATATGGCATCACAAAAATTGTGACCAAGTCCCAGGTTGCTGACCTGACTTTCAGCCTCATTTACACACAAATGCAGGGTCTCAATTGTTACTCTTACTTTGACAACACAAGATACATACTGTAAATTGCGGCGTTTAAGTCGACATTTTAAGCTTGAAAAAATCTCTCCAAAACCAGGGGTCGACTTATACGCCGAGTATAAAATGTGAAGCTGTACCACATAGTGGTAAACAAGTGGAACAGCCTGCCTAACACTCGCTGTGCATAACTTAGCGTAACTCCCGTGGCCTGCCGCTAATATTTCCTACTGAAATTCATGTTTGGTAAACTCATTTAACATAGAGATTATAATAAAATAGTAAATTCCAGTATAATTAAATGAACACAACACCGCACGCCATTTCCAACAGCTGATTTTTGCTTTCATCTGGGTGTGTTTTGGCCCACTTAAGTGCAAGGGTGTGTATGTCAGTTCGGGTTACTGTATCGCCATCTTGGCGGTTTTCATTGACCCAACCTTCTAAATAATTTTCCAGTTTAGGCCAGTGACAGATGCCGGTCCTTACAGATCATTTTTTCTTGGGTTTCTTCTTCAGGGAGGCTTCACTTTTCTTAGAATCACGCACCATCTTTTCATTTACTCCATAATTCCTCACTGCAGCACTGTTGTTTGAAGAGCTTGCAAATGCAACAACTTTCAGCTTGAAACTTGCGTCATATATCATCCTTTTTGCTGGGGGAGCCGGGGATAAGATATTTTCAACTGTTGTCAGGTTGGTGTGTGGGTAATGAGTGGATGCCAGCAAGAGCATAAAGCCACGATGGTTTAGTAAATTGCCATGTAAGCTTGTTCAGTGTATGGGGGTGCCAATAAGCTGATGACAGTCTAAGCTATGTGCCGGCAGTGTAACGGATCCATAGTTTCGTAGCTGGCCGCTTGTTAGTGGCGCCACTGGTAGTTTGTTTACACCAGCTGATGCAAATGGCAGATCGTAAGCCAGGTGTACCATAATGTTCAACTATCATACAGTATATAGCGGTACTATTAAGGTGCTATACAGTGATCCCTCAGTTAACGAGTGCCTTGGTTTACGAGATTTCGGTTAACGAGTTAACCTTCCAAAAGATTCTTAACTTTGGTTAACGAGCAATCCCTCGATTAACAAGTTTTTATGAGCCGACCTCAACATGTTTTCACTTGCATTTGGTGGTCCACCAGCTGTAGTATTAGTCCGCCAATACAGTAATCGGTTCTAGGGCTTAAATTCCTTACTATTTTAGTAAATATCAAGAAGTTTATATTATTCAATAATTTTAAAAGTTTTATATTAAATTTTTTAGTCATTTTAACAATTATTGAACAAAATTGAAATATAGGAAGCTAGCTTTTTGCCTGCCATACAGCCTGTCAACACACCATACAGGTGTCAGTCTCTGTGTCTTTTCAGTGGAGGTAACATCTTGCTTGAGACTCTCTTCAACTACAGTGACCCCTCGGTTAACGAACAGTAGGGTGTAAGTCGGTATAGCCTATGCGACCTCTTCGTTCTCCGCCCTTAAAAGGTGTCTAATTCCTCGCATAACTTCAAAATTTCACATTGAGGAAATATGTAGAACCTCAACAATTGTTCATCACTAATGTTAAGAGCATACAATGCACAATTAAAAAAAGAATGGCAGCTCCCTAGTCAGTGCACTTCTTGTAAGCCTCTAATGATGGACTGTATGCACAAGCAATGACTCAATTTTGCTAATACCTACAAAGACTGGACACCAGAACAGTGGAGTAAGGTAATGTGATCATATGAAAGCATCTTCAGATGCATTTCAGGGCACCCAGGTAGGGTGAGATGACCAGTTGGGGTAAGCTGATACAACCCAGCATACAGTACACATTAAAAACAGTGAAACAGTGAATCAGCTATGATCTGAAGTTGTTTTAGTAGAGAAGTTGGTAGGGGTGGATTATATTTCCTCCCCCAGAATGTGACAATGAATGCTGACTGATACATTGATGTTCTTGAAAATCATTTGTTCATTTGTAAAATTTTTGACATTCATGGGTGCAATGTGTTTATGCAGGACAGTGCCCCCTGCCATAAGGCTAAGAAAGTGACAAAATGACTCCAGGACAATAACACTGATGTTCCACAGTGGCCAGGAAACAGTCATGACCTGAATTCCATTGAAAATGCCTGGAATTATCTAAAGGGGAAGCAGCCAAACTGCAATAACTCATCTGCCAAGCACCTGGAGGATGAGATCAGGCGTATCTGGACACAAGACCTTGATCCACAATACTTAAAAAAAACTTAGCTGACAGTACGCCATAAAGGATTAAAATGGTCATCAAAGCAGTACGTCTCATTTGATCACACACATACACTCACTTACTCGCATATATGCACACATACATACACTCACTCGCATATATGCACACATACATACACAAAAGCATTTGTAACATGCCTGTATTCACACACACATTACCAGACAACCACAATTGCTCCTTAATTACTTGGGCATTGAGACTGCGGCGGGGATGCTTTGACACTTGACCGTGGTTGAAAAGACAGACAGGCTTCGAGAAAATTAATTTAAAGGTCATGGGCAGCTGATCATAAGGTCATGGGCAGCTGATCATATGGGATGGGACTAAACTGGCAATAATATTCAAAGTATGGATGTGAAAATTATTCCCACATACGGTGCAGCAATTGCAGTGGCATTGTATACTGCATAGACTGTAGGAATTGCATTGAAAGGGTTAAATGGTAACAAATGTATTGTATTGTAGAAGAGCATTTTTGTGAATTGTGAGATCTAATTCATGACTGGAGGAGTAGGTGTTTTGACTGTTTTATCGTAATTGGTTGGTGAGCCCTCTAAATCACGAATCGGTTACTCTATCCTCTATCATAAAATGGGATATCAGGATTTAACCTCCTGTTTCACTGACACAGGATGCTGTAGAGTTGAAGAACATGTAATTCATGAGTTTTTATTACCTTCATTCAGAATCTGACAAAAGATGATCCCCCTTCCCCCATTGTCCCATTATTTGTAGTTGGAATTTGTACCAGTTGCTTGACTGAGATTGGTTGAAAACATTATTGTTGGTTCACAAAAGTGGTTGTGCCTTTTAATAATGACAGCTATGTAAGTGCAAAGGGATTAGCAGATTCAGGGATCAACTGAATAATGTATTAGCCAATTTCAGTGATTAAGATTGAAGGTAGTAGTGTATAGTGTGCTTTCAATTATCAAATTCTCAGATGGTGTATCGTGCTGCCAACATAAGATCACTTGATGATGGTGGACAGAGACTAAGGAAGCGCATTACTGAATTGGAGAAGGAGATAATGATGCTAGAACTTAAGACTAGTATCAACTTGGCAACATCAGAAGAAAAAATCATCCATGGTAAGTCAACCTTTCATATAAAATACATAACTTCAGATTGGAAACTTTTTTACATGGGAGCATCACCATTGAAAAAGTTCATTGTTGTTAGATTGTAAATATTTTACTGGATGGCTTCCTTTCTTAACTACACATGATAATTTGGAATCCTGCAAGAGCATGCTAAGGGCATACTATTGGGTTTTCCCTGTTTTGTTTACACACTATCTCAAGACTGGGTAATAGGAGAATGACCCAAAAATGATGATGAAGCCCTTGTGTGCCTGTAGTAATACAGTAATATTTCCATTACCCGGAATCCCTCAAACCCGGAATTCTCTGATAGCTGGAATTGAAATTAGCTCGGAAAAGCATTCCTCAAGCTGGAATTAAAAAAAAAATCCAGCTTTGGGAACAAATTTTCAAAGGTCGAAAACTGAGAGCATATTCTGAAAATGTCTTGAATAAAGGTGAAAGCTCAAGTATTTTAGGGAGGGTCCAGACCTGACTCAGTGTCAGGTGGAGGATTAGTGGTCTCATATTACTGACTTTCTTGGGTAGGGGATTAGTGGGTCTCATGACCTGAAGATGTCTTGAATAAGCACAAAACCTAAAGTATTTTAGAGAGATTGTGATAAGCATAAGTATAAATGAGCAAAGTTGTATCCCTTCAACATTACATAACAAAACATTTTAAAATATGGAGTGAGAAAGCAGCAAGGTGTGGGTGATTAGAGAGGTGGAGTGGAAAGGAGTGGTAAAATGCACCAGTGTTGCCAAGCGATAAGCTCCTCAACAGCTGATCTTTTAATTCGCCTCCATGCAGTCACACAACAAAACCCTCACTGGGTGCTTGTTGCCTTAATTCCCGTGTATGTGTGTGTTTTAGCTTGCCAAGCACATTGTAGGATTTGAAGAAGTTGATGAAGAGTTTGTTCAGGAGTCAGGTGACATGCCAAGACACTTACACAACACACACATTAACAGCACTACTAAACCATTGTTTTATAAAATTTTACATTATAATTTCTATTTTAAAATTGATTGATACATGATAGCTTGACAGGGCTACTTAGACAACTGATCAATGAATAAACCAGGACATATGGAGATTCCTTATACATTAGTGATGTCACAAAGCCTTGAAACTGCAACCACATAAATTATCACAAACTGTACTTAAATGTACTGTACTAAGTTAATTACTAAAATTATTATGTGTGGTGTAAAATAATGGATGTTTATTCTCAAATTAATGGCTATCTTAAAAGAATTTCAGCAATGCAAGTTATATTCTTCAAAGTCAAGTCAGTTACATTTTATAAGCAAAACAATAAAACCCCTCTGCCTTTATCCTTAAGTACTGTACAGTATGTGTTAATCTCCCCTGTCCTCCCAGTCGGAAGAGAAGGGTCATATGGGGGGTAAAAGTGACCGCGACACCCCCCCCCCACCTCAAACTTGTGTGTGTGTGTTTGTTTGTGTGTTTTTTTTTTTTAACGGTTTATTGAAAAAGTTCTGAAGGCTGAAAATATACATTGGACATAAATGACTTATTACATACATTGGTGGTTTAACAAAAGCCTTCATTAGAGAAAGGTAAAGAAACATACAGTGAACATACAGATTAATGTAGGTGTTGAACAGCAAACACGTAGTGTAGTAACTCCCTCCCAGATGGTGTTAGGAGGGACCTCACGTGATGTAGTAGTTCCCTCAGATGGTGTTATGAGGGACCTCACGTGGTGTAGTAATTCCCTCGCAGATGGTGTTATGAGGGACCATGTGGTGTAGTAATTCCCTCGCAGATGGTGTTATGGGGGACCTCATGTGGTGTAATTACCTCACAGATGGTGTTATGGGGGTCCTCACGTGGTGCAGTAATTCCCTCGCAGATGGTGTTATGAGGGACCATGTGGTGTAGTAATTCCCTCGCAGATGGTGTTATGGGGGACCTCATGTGGTGTAATTACCTCACAGATGGTGTTATGGGGGTCCTCACGTGGTGTAGTAATTCCCTCACAGATGGTGTTATGAGGGACCTGACGTGGTGTAGTAATTCCCTCACATGTGGTGTTATGAGGGACATGTGGTGTAGTAATTCCCTCACAGATGGTGTTATATGAGTGAGGTTTGGTCTTAGGCCTTCCTATCGTAGACGGATTAACACATCGCTGGTTGTTGTTGGGTCTCACGGGCCATTATCACTGGGTACCTGGGACCTCACTGTGTGAAGGTTAACTTGGGTACGACTGTAACTGTTGAGTTGTTCTCACTGACTTAAGCACTGTTCACCACTGTTTACCTCTGTTTAACACTGGTTCCAATCCTTTCCTAAATGAAATTGTAACTTCTGGCGAGAACTTGTTGATATTCCGGTGGGGAGGAGGGTTCAGGGGAGGGGGTTGGTATGGGCCAACTTAACAGTTGACCTGGCCATGTTACCCGTGTGGATGACAGTAGACTACCAAAGTAACTGCTTTGATAGTCACCTAACGAATAGTAAACGTAACGCCGCCGGACAATTGAAAAGGTATAAGGATAGTCTTCAGACAAACCTGAAAAAGTGCCAAATGAACCCCCCTTACCTGTGAGTCAATTACTACACATCATCACGCTTGGAGGAGCACCACACAAGAAGGTGTCACTACTTTCGAGTTAGCCCGACAAACTGAGGAAGACGAGCGCCAATGCTGGAAAGACTCTGCCACTGCACTAGATACAGCCCTCGACATGTGCAACTAATGTGGATGACCCTGCCGGTCCCGTATCAGCCTCTTTAGTCACCTCAAAACTCACCAACCTGGGTGACATCCCTAATAACTCATATCATTGTATCATAGCTGGATGATCGTCATACTCGATTCCGAGTGACAGCAAAGTAGTAGTAGAGTGTGTGGGTGGGTGGGGGAGGGGGGGGGGTGGAATGTGTGTGCATGTGCGCCTTCATGTCTGTGAATCTCTGCAGTGGCCAGGACATTTGTCTTGTCCACGACCTATTGGTATTTTCTTTCAAAAGGTGATACAGGTCTCCCTATCTATGACATTTTCCTTGACTGATGATGTATTAAGACCACCCTTCTATTTAAGAAAAACAAATTTCCATGAATTATGGTCAAAATCCCCAAATCGCTGATGCACGGAATATGGAATGCATCTCTTGCTGCACATGTCAGCTTTGGTCCACCCGCGTGCCGCCATGTGACCACTCGGTGCACTGGGTCCCAAGCTTTGTTTCATGGTGATCGCACATGCCCGTGATTGTGTAGCTCAACAATTATCAGTTGGTATCAGTGTTGGTTTTTATCATCAGTTTTCTCTTTGTTTTTGCTTTTTCCTTACAGTTAGAGGACATCACTAATGTTCACAAAGTACTCTGTTTTGGTGACTGTTAAGTGTCTTTTGCTATGTTTTCTGTGACTGTAAAGTACTTTGTCTCCGTTATTGTCAACACGATGTGAGAACTGTCGGCCGCAATAACGTTATCATTGTTCACTGATTTTTTAAAGTGCTGTGGTTCTGTTTTTGTAACTGAGTTGAGCATTGTAACTTTGAAAATTTCTGGAAGGCCAAGGCACCCAGGAATACCATGTCTGGAGGTGAAGCTTGACATTGTGAAGGCTCCAGACTCCCCAGAAGCTGTGTGGGAGTAAGAGTGACATCTTCACTCAACGTTCAAGACTCCCCTTAGCCTCAGTGGGGACATGTAATGATGATCAGGCTTGTTCTTATTGATGTGGTGAGTGTTGTTTAATTGTGTTTTATGTATATTATTATTGTAAGAATTTTATTTTCTGTGATACATGTGGGCTTTGGACTGGTTGGGACATATCCAGTTGAACCCCATGTTATAATGATCCTGTTTTATGATGTTTCGACTTGCGATGGATTTTTGGGGAACCTAACCCTATCGTTATTAGGGGGATACCTGTATTTCTGAAATGTCCACTATGGTATTGGGGTTATCTGGTCTTTTTGCCCATTAGTTCAATATACAGGTAACAATTATCTACTGCTGTATTAGTATTATAAGGTGTGTATATCTGTTGCTGCTATTTTGGAGGTACTGTACTATAAAACATTATAACATTGTTTTACAGTAAAAGTCCAAAGATCCGGATGCCAGAAATCCGGACCACCCGAGAATCCGGACTTTTCGAAAACGATTTATTTATTTATTTTTATTTATTTATTTATTTTAGCGGGCTTTTGTGTGTATATGCGCATGCGTGAGCGCCACAGCTGCACAGCAACAACAAGTGACCACGTGGTTGCCACTTTAAAACAAGCAGTCAAACTGTGACAACATACCATATATACTCGTCTATAACCCCCCCTCGTTTATCGGTCGACCCTGATTTTTTTACCAAGAAATCGTTAATTTATGATATTCCTTATTTATAGGTCGACCCACGTTTTTGAGGGTAATGGAACAACAAAACCTTCAGTAAAAACACTATGTCCTATAAACTGAGGCTCGCCGTGCCTGAAACACCGAGTGCCGAAGGCAAATTGTTTACCATTTATTATTACGACAATTTACACTGAAACGCGGGTAGTTTCAACAAAAATATTGTATATTTCCATTCAAGTATTTATTCAAGTCAATTAGGAGGGAATATTATTGTAATACAACAGTTTTTTAACTAAACCATTCAAAAAGCGATTACGGTAACATCTTTTGAACGAAAGAAGGCGAAAGTCATTGTTTTCGTCACGATTTTATCCCACTTTCCACTGTAATACGTACGTCATTTCAGCAAAAATATTACATTTCCGTGAATGCATTATATCAAGCACAGTATGAATAGAATATCATTGTAATATAACAGAATTTTAACCGAAAACTATTAAAAAAACGAGTAACATCTCAAGAACATCGGAAGCTTAGGTAAAGTCTTTTGTTTTCGTCATGTATTTTATCCTAGTTTACATTGAAATACATCACGTTTCAGCAAAACTACTATTTATTTCCGAGAATATATTCATTCAGGCGCAGTTTAGGTAAAATATACGTGTGATGTAATAGTTTTTTAACTGAAAACGATTCGAAAAACACGTACCCTCTAGCCCTGTACAAGGAGAGGACTGGGAGAAGCTGTTTGGTGCTGCAGACGATGACAAGGAAAATGATTTTGATGGATTTTAATGAAAATATTCAGAAATATGGTATCGTAGTATTTATTCAAGTCAATTAGGATAGAATATTATTGTAATACAACAGTTTTTTAACTGAAAACCATTCGAAAAGCGATTACGGTAACATCTTTTGAAGGAAAGAAAGCGAAAGTCATTGTTTTCGTCACGATTTTATCCCACTTTCCATTGTAATACGTACGTCGTTTCAGCAAAAATATTACATTTCCGTGAATGCATTACATCAAGCACAGTATGAATAGAATACCACTGTAATATAAATATATTTTGAGTCCTACTCTTTCCATTTACAGAGTACTGTACAAGCCCATAATAATGGCTCCTAAAGTGGATAAACTTCGTTGTGTGAAGAGAAAGAAGAACACGTTGAAATTGAGTGACAAACTTGAAATAATTAAGAAAGAACGTGGTGTGAGCAATACTGTTCTAATGGAAACATCCGACATTGGAAAGTCTACAATTTATGATATAAAAAAGGCAAAGAATAAAATTCTAGAATTCACAGCTTTTTCATTAAAACTGCTCGTTTTGATAAATGAAGCATGCTATATTTGCTAATGAATAAACTATCAAAATGTACCTGTTCATCTCTTCTTTATTCCTCCTTAAATTTGAATTTTAAAAGTACTGCCTGAGAATCCGGAAAATCCGAAAATCCGGACCGACCCAATCCCCAAGCAGTCCGGATTTTGGACTTCTACTGTATATAACTTTCCCTTGGACTAATTACTTGTTTGCTTTTAAATGATAATTCTGTTGTAGGTATTCCTTAAAAAATGTAAATATTGGTGCATTTATGTCGGAAATTTAACAATAATAGGAATTTTTTTCCAGTTGATGGTCCTCAACAAAGTTATCAACAGACAAAGCTACTGGACTACCCACATTTCTCAGCAACTAACCCAAAACCAAAGGTGCACCCATCACAACCTCAGCTGTCTCAACATGTCCTGAATGCAATGTATGCTGCTGATAGGGACTACACTTCCCGTGATTATGGAGGAAAGATCTCATCTGGTCAGTTACTACTTCTAAGTTATTTCTTTTAGGTAACAGTTAGGTCAACCTTAGTGGCTTCCAGGAGCATTACCATAGGATAAATGTAATTTTAATTATAGAACATTTTCGATTTATTTGTCACAATTGCCCTTAAAATCTCTGATGTGAGGGAAGTGTTTTTATTTGTTGTCTCAACAAAATATTACTTGGAGAGTCATATTGTTTTATCCTTCAATAACTTAATGGTCTTTTATTTTCTTGGCAAAATTTATCTGGAGCCTGTCACTTGTATATCTTAATGGAGTGATGTGTGACATCATAGTCACGTGTTTGTCAAATGATAAAATTCACAGCTGAAGATCACTGGTCAAACCTTGTCTATAATGTAACTCTTGTGTTAACATATTTTGATAAAACCACATAAATATATAATTATCACTTGGTAGAATGTAGAACTCTGAATTCAAACATCTTTGTTGAAGGACAAATACCACCAATAGAAAAGTGCAGAATGCAAATTGATGTCAGTAAAAACTAGGGTTCATGGCTGAATGTCACTAGTAAAAACCTTGCTCAGAGAAAGGCACTGTATATACAGGTAGATAATTTGAACCCCTGTGTATGGGTATATGTAATTGTTTTAACCATTTCTTGTCATTTTTCAGTCTTGTATTGCTCCATTCTCCTTATAGTTCCCCTTTTTTGAGGTATTGCTATCACTTAATCAGTTCTGCATAAGACTGGGAAAGCTATATAGATAATGGATTGGTTTATGGAAAAATTCCATTTCAACTTTTCATGTACAGGTGCAGTATTATATATACTTTACAGCTCGTGAACGGGAGATGGTAAGAATCACAGGAGATGCTATAGAGGGTCTCCACAATGCCCTGAAATCAGCTCCTGATGTTGAAGAGGTAGAGGAGCAACAGCCAGAGGGTTTAAAGGTGCCCCTCTTGGTTCACCAGTCTCGTGCACTTGCTTGGCTTCTCTGGAGGGAGAGGCAGTTACCTCCTGGTGGTATTCTTGGTAAGGTGTTCACCACTTTCTATAATATAAATTAATCCCAACTGTGAAACTGTTTGGTGGAAGTGGTTAAGTCTGGAGATCACCTACAGTAAGCTGCTGGGTTTTGCTTGTATATAGAATTTTTTTTTTTACGGGGATTAGCCCACCCGGGCACAGGTCACTAACCCACATCGGGGCCTGGGGGCAAAAATGTAATAATAATCATAATAATAATAATAATAATTCGTAGTAAATAAAATTATAATATAAAACACAAAATTAAAAATAAAATAAAATAAAAATTATAATACAGTAATAATAACGAACCATAAAGAAACAAAAATGAAAAAAAATCAAGTGAGAAACATTATACAGGTTGTACCTCTCTAGTCCGGCATTCTGTGGTCCGGAAACTCCCGTGATCCGGAACGATTTTAGTTTGTCCAATAGGTAGATAGGCAGCTTTTTTTTTTTTTTTAATCTTGATTATTATTATTATTATTATTATTACAGGAGTATTAAATTTTTGCCCCTCAGGCCCCAATGTGGGTCAGTGACCTATGCCCGGGTGGGCTAATCCCCGTAAAAAAACAACAACGACGAAAAAGCCGGGGGAAATTAAGGTTTGTTTACATCCGGCAGTTAAAGCTCTCTCTCTCTCTCTCTCTACTTGTCTAGAGTACAGTGGCCCTCGGTTATGAACTCAATCCGTTCCAGAAGGTCGTTCGTTAACCGAAACGTTCGTTAACCGAAACCATTGTTTCAATGGGTTTTTGGGTAATTGGTTCCAGCTCACCGAAAATTTCCTAACTTCAACAAAAATGGCGGAAAAATTTACTTACTTTGAGGTGTGTATGTAGAAGGCTCCTGGATGATGGTGATGATGTGCATTTGAAGTGGGAGGTGCAGGAGGAGAAGGGAGAAGAGAAGGAAGTGGAGGTGGAGGAGAAGCATTTTACTGCTTCTTGGAAGGTGAGTCACCTTCCATGAAAATGTCAGGAACCTCTGGACTGACAGATTCTCCACCATGAACATCCTCTCTCCTTCTTGAAGTGGAAGGCTGAGGGCTAGCATCTTGTTCCCTCTGCCTTTTACTGAAGAAAGTGTCAATTGTGGTCTGTGGGGCATCTGTCCTCCTCACCATTAACTTATGTTTAAAGAAGGAGACCACTGAGTCCTCAACATGACACAAAGTTAGTTCAGTTTTTTCCACTTCTGGGTGCTTTGAAGCCAGTTCCCTGAACTTCTCCCAGTGGTAAATCACATCTTTCAACTGTTTAGCTGACATATGGTCATCACTTTCAATTTCCTCCTCACCACTGTCAGCCTCTACCCGTAACATCTCATCCAGTTCCTTCAAGTCATTAGGAGTAAGTTCCTCCTCATGAGACATCACAAGCTCTTCCACATCCTTCTCCTCCACTTCAAGACCCAATGACTGACCAATGGACACAATCTCCTGGTCCAACTCTGTGTCATCCTCAAATCCCTCAAAATCATGGACTACTGATGGCCACAGTGCTTTCCATGAAGAATTGAGGGTTCTATTGGAGACTTCTTGCCATGATGACACAATCAATTTTACAGCCTCCAGGACGTTGAATTGTGTCTTCCAGAACTGTTTCAGTGTTAGTTCAGGATCAATGGAAGTTGCCTGATGACACCTCCTAAACATTTTCTTCATGTACAACTTCTTGAAGTTGCTGATCACATTCTGGTCCATTGGCTGTATGAGTGATGTAGTGTTTGGAGGCAAAAACAACACTTTCACAAAGTCAAATTTATACTCCAAATTTCTGGCAAGGTCAGGGTCATGACCAGGAGCATTATCCATGAGGAGAAGAGCCTTTAAAGGAAGTTTATTGGTGGTTAGGTAGCTCTTGACAGAGGGGCAAAACACATCAATAGCCCATTCATTAAAGAACTGTCTTGTCACCCATGCCTTACGGTTGGACTTCCAATAAACTCCAAGCATTGTTCTTACCACTTTCTGTTGCTTGAACACCCTGGGGTTTTCAGAGTGGTAGACAAGCATAGGCTTCAGTCGGAAATCCCCTGAAGCATTGGCACCAAGCAATAGAGTGAGACGGTCTTTCATGGGTTTATGCCCAGGTAAAGAGGCTTCATCCTTGGTGATGAATGTTCTTTTGGGCATCTTTTTCCAGAACAGCCCAGTTTCGTCAACATTGAACACTTGCTGTGGAAGATAATTTTCTTCTTCCATCAGTTTTTTAAATTCAATTAAAAACTTTGCTGCCCCTTCTTTATCAGCACTAGCAGCTTCACCATGCCTAACAACACTTAAAATGTCACTTCTTTTCTTAAATTTTTCGAACCAGCCTTTGCTAGCCCGAAAATCTTCAAATTCTGTTCCTGAAGAACTAGGTTGATCTGTCTTTAAATGTTCATAAATCTCCCTGGCTCTTTCACAAATGAAATCACCAGAAACTGAATCACCTTTCATCTGTTTTTCCCTAATCCAGATGATAAGTAACCTCTCAGTTTCTACGATTAGGGATCTACTTTTAAACACTCTTGTAGATTTGTCTCTCACGTTCACTTCCTTAAATTTGTCTTTTTGTGCAAGAATTGTCGACACAGTTGATGCCGACATGCCATATTCTTTGCATAGCGCATTTGATTTAATACCTTGTTCGTGTTTTTTTATTATTTCCTGCTTCATTTGGATTGAAATCACTTTTCTTGATCTCTTAGGCCCCATGCTGGATTCAAACAATGGCAACACGTATTTTTCAAAGTTAAACTAGCTGTAAATAAAGAATATTTTCTTTAAAATAACACTGCACTGCACTATATATTGTCAATATGTAAAATAATTTTCAAAATGACCAATAATTTGCTTGGAAACACAGAAAAAAAGCGTTTAGTTGAAGAGAGTCTCAAGCAAGATGTTACCTCCAGTGAAAACAGAGAGAGACTGACGCCTGTTTGCTGTGTTAAGAGGCTGGATGCCGCGCATTAAACTAGTCACTTTACCTTCAATTTTGTTCAATAATTGTTAAAATGACTAAAAAATTGAATATTAAACTTTTAAAATAATTGAATAGTATAAACTTCTTGATATTTACAAAAATAGTAAGGAATTTAAGCCCTAGAACCGATTAATGTATTGGCGGACTGATACTAAAGCTGGTTGCCCGGTCAGTGCAAGCGAAAACATGTTGAGGTCGGTTCGTAAGAGTTGGAGTGAATTTTTAGTTAAGCAATTGAAGATCTTATATGGAAGGCAGTTCGTTAATCGAAATTCGTTAACGAGGTGTTCGTTAAGCGAGGGTCACTGTACAACATTTAACCCAATATATATGAGCAGTAAATAAGTTATTGCTTTATATTCTTATGTAGAGTAATGACGATATGTTTTCACATGTGCGCACTTACATACGTGCAGTCTCACTTTTTTTTTTACCATTAATGGTTAGCTACTTATATTGTTCCATTAATTAACATTAAATAACATTACAGGTACTTCAAACAACCATATTAATTTTTTTACATTAATTTTACTACAGCTAAAATCAGGGTCTTATTTTCTTCAATTTTATATGCAGAACCAATCAATCACTGGTTTTGTAAGCTTTAACATAAACAATGCCGGCAGCCGTCTCGTCTCCTCTAATATTCCACGTATTATTAATAAATTGTATTGTTAATTTTGCACACACATTAATTCAATAAAAACAAATTCAGAAACATTAATTAAAATATATATGAACAGTAAATAAGTGTTGCCTTCATATTCTTATGTAAAGTAATAATGATATGTTTTCACGTGTGCGCATGCGCACTTACATACGCGATCTCTCTTTTTTTCTTTACCATTATCGTTAGCTACTTATATTGTTCCATTTATTAACATTAAATAACATTACAGGTACTTCAGGCAACTATATTAATTTTTTTACATTAATTTTACTACAGCTAAAGTCAGGGTCTTATATTCTTCAGTTTTATATGTAGAACCAATCAATCACTGGTTTTGTAAGCTTTAACATAAACAATGCCGGCAACCGTCTCGTCTCCTCTAATATTCCACGTATTATTAATAAATTGTATTGTTAATTTTGCACACACAAACATTAATTCAATAAAAAGAAATTCAGAAACATTAATTAAAATATATATGAACAGTAAATAAGTGTTGCTTTCATATTCTTATGTAAAGTAATGACGATATGTATTCACGTGTGCGCATGCGCACTTACATACGCGATCTCTCTTTTTTCTTTACCATTATCGTTAGCTACTTCTCTTGTTTCATTTATTTCCATTTATTAACATTAAATAACATTACTTAAAACAACCATATTAATTTTACTACAGCTACAGCCAAGGTCTTATTTTCTTCAGTCTTATATGTAGAACCAGTCAGTCACTGGTTTTGTAATCAACGAAAACAATGCTGTGTCATTTCCTCGTGTGTTTTAATATTCTACGTATTATTAATGAATTGTATTGCTCATTTTGCACACATAAACATTAATTCAATAAAAAAGACATTCAGTAATAAACAATAATGAATCTTTTGTACATAAGAGAAATGACGCTGTTTACACGATTATGCCCGTCGTCTGCACGTTGGCGGGCCGTTCAAACCCGTCGAAATTCAAGTTTCCGCCGTCAAAATTTTTATTTATTTATTTTTTTGTGTGTTCCAATAAAATACGTTAAGAATTAAAAACTCGTGAAATTTGATAAGCTACTATACGACATTTAACCCTTCAATATGTCTTTAAAGAGACCATGATGCAGAGAAAGTGGTGCTAGTGCTTCCAAGCATAAGCACAAGTCACTATCAATCCAGGAAAAGGGTGAATTTCCATGGTCCGGCACCGGTCAGGTCCCGAGGTTGCCGGACTAGAGAGGTACAACCTGTATGTATGTTGTGTTGTCAATAGTAAGAGAAACAATTGAGACCCTGCAATTGTGTGTAAATGAAACAGAAAGTCAGATTAGCAACCTGGGACTGGGTCACAATTTTTATGATGCCATATGGCAGCAGGGTCTACCATTAGACAATACAGTATTTACAATTACAGTATAGGATTCACCTCAGTTTCTCATTTAAACAATACAGTATCTTTGAAAGTACAAGTACAGGTTGTGGATCCTTTGTTTGAAATTCTAGAAACTGATAGTTTAAATGAACTATAATGTATGCAAGTATGGAATAAAGTTTTTCTAGGTAGAGTAGAGCCTTAATTGTCCAATTTATATGGGGAGGGGGGGGGGTGTCAGATATGCTAACACGTTGGACAGTCGAGGGAGAAAGCGTTTACTGTACTGTGATTTTACAATAAGATGACAATTGTTTTAAACAGTATAATTAATGTACAGTCAACTCTCTTATAACTGAGGGGTTAAGTTCATTCTCCCTCTCTATAAAAAAAGTGAAGTTAGGGTTTGGATTCTTGGACTTCCTCTCCAATATAATTTTTTTTTTTTACCTATAGCACAGTTTGTAATTGAAGTCACACAGTTGTGGGTGGAGCTTCTGGGCGACCACGTGGTAGCGGTGTGGAGGACAAACAAAGCTCTGTTTACCTGTTACCCTTGATAATAAATTCAATTGACCACTGCTCCAATTATTTTCTTACTCATTAAAAGGCATAGATCAAATTACACTAAAGTCTAACAGCTATCAGTATATGAACTATATACTTCTGATGAGATGTTTGTCCTCTGTTCCAACATTGTCACACTATTGCCGCATCATCTCGAATCTGTTTTTAGTATCATTGGCGAATGACAAAATGTGCTATTCTCAGAGATTGGGGACTCGCGTCTGCTCTTTAGACTGTGAGTACAACTGAGGCCTTTATTTTGTGGACTAGAGACTATGGCAACTATAGCTGTTATTTTGGGCTTTATCAAACATATACAAGAACAAAATTATTTTAAGTTTTTCCATGGCTTCCTAGGAGGAGGAATAAGAGTGTTTGGTTTTGTGCCTCATGCTGTCATTAGCAAAATGTAAACATTGCTGTCAATTCAATACAGACACTTTCCGGGTTACAGGTGGGTTATGTTCCTGTGGGATGTGTTCCTGTAAAACCAAGCGTTAAGCTAAATCATCACTAAATGAGGGATAATATCTGTGGGGATGGCATGTTGCCACTGTTTTACGTAATGAAACAGTAAAGATTGTGGAATATTCATTACAATAATCTAATGTAACTTTGAAATAAAGACATAATAAAAAACTATAAAATAAGAAGTGGACCTGGCATTTTGCCAAGTTAGACTGTCACTGTAGATACATTCCCCTACCAGGCCAAGCTGTGAGCTGTGTTTCTTTCACATGGCACCCACAGTTATACAATGTGCCAAAAAAATTATTAAATTAATTTCGTTATCATAAGGTCAAAAACAAAAAGGGAAAACATTTCTTATATGTGTGGGAGTTAGCACACAGAGTGGGAGAAGGGGAGAGCCATGATTGTGCTACTTCTATGAGATACCTTGTAGTAACAAAAGCATATGCCGTTGATTGTGTTCGTTTCTCTGTCTACCATGTCCACCGACAGTTAGAAATAACTGTACACATTTTTTGCAGTTCTTGAAGTTCTCACAGTTGAATGTCCAAGGATCCTGATATTGATCCTCCCTCTCTCCCTCCCTCTCTGTAGATCCATAATGGAAACGTGGCCAATATAATATTGATAAAACCACAAAGGAAAAGGGAAACATTGGAGCACCTTTGCTTTCATCTATATTCAATACATCTTTAGAGGCAAATAAATTTATAAAAGTTGAGGAAAAACCATTACAATTATCACAACCTGTGCTCAAATGTACTTAGTTAATTATTAAAAATCCATAATTTTGAACAACATATTACTGTACTTAATGTGTACTCAAATGTTCTACGGTAGAGACTACAATTTTATCTCCACTGCAGACTATGGGATGTTTATACTCAAATTAATTGCTATCTTGCAAGAATATCCTGTCATATAGCAGGGTGGGGAGGGCCGCTGCTCGACATACGTGTAACTTTGCAGATAATTAAAGTTCCCCACCGCTGAAGACAATGTTTTGGTATCTGTCAAAGGCTTGAGATGCACATCTGATCCGATGTAGAATCTCTTCATCAATGTCTGCGGTGGTGGACAGGTGGGAGCGCCGAGATACCGAAAGTGGGTAACATTAGAGAGGTTAGTACCGTAAAGCTGGGTGGATGGTGGAGGTGTGTCTGAACCAGGGGCAGGCGGAAAGAGAATCTGAGTCTTACGTACATTCACCTCAAGGCCTACCATAAGAGTCGAACAGTCGGTATTCTCATCATTGTTTTTACGTGCTCTACCAATATGCACTCCGAAATTCTTTGATGAGGAATATAGATATAGATATAATATTGGTTTGAACCTTAAGTACCGTAGTTCTTTTATATACAAATGCCTTAACATTACTAAGAATTCTTTTTATAGAAGTAATCCTCAGCCAACCCATGACAATAAGAATTTCTTAGTATTACCATTTAACAAAAATTTCTCTCAAATTCCTATACAACTGAAAACCTGGAACGTTAATGTGACATTTGAAAACTCGTGCACTGTAAAACAAATGTTAATTAAGAACTCCCCCAACAATGCAGGCGGCTGCATTTACAAGGTTCCTTACAAGGAATGTAATATGTTCTACTTAGGCCAGACGGGTAAAGATCTTATAACTAGACTTAAACAACATAAATATGGTGTTAGGACAGGCCAGGAATCTGTTCATTCATATGAGAGATAATAAACATTGCATTGACTGGGATAATGCCTCCTCAATTTTACAATGCAGTTCAATTGTCAGTAGGAACATTATAGAATCCAGTCTCATTAAACATACTGAATCTGTCGACATGAACTTGTGTAATGGCATGTACAAACTGGTAAATTTTGTGATTAAGAAGATTTGTAACCAGGTGAGAGGGTTGGGTCATCCTCCCTTTTTTACCTGAATACGGACACCTGCTGTCCCTAGGGATTTACTGTATACATTAGCCTTGTCAATATCTACTCCTTAATCGGTTCCTACCCCTGAGATGTGAATTACACGAAAGTGTTTAGTAAGGGTATGGGCAATTTTGTGATTTAAGAAGATAAGTAAGGATTGGGTCACTACCCTATGACCTGAATATTGTGGACACCTGGTGTTCCCTGGGGACTTGATCTCGCTCTCCTTTACTGTATATATTAGCCTTGTCAAGTATTACTCCTTATTCTGTACTCACCTCTGAAGATGTGAATTACATGAAAGCGCTTGGGAACTTTGTGTTTTCTTGTTTCCTTGTGGTTATCAGCACATACATACATAAACACACAATTGTGTTGCATCTTACATGGGGGTTATGTTTCATAGGGATTGCCTGAAGCTAAAAATGCATGTACAGGTGCTCCTCTACTTATGAACAAGTTACGTTCCTGAGGCTCTTGTAGATAACAAACATACAGTGATCCCTCGGTTAACGAAATTTCGGTTACCAGTAACGAATTACCTTCCATAAGATTCTTCACTTCGGTTAACAAAAAAATTTCAGTTAACGAATTCCTTACGAATTTTTCCCAACATGTTTTCGCCTGCTTTTGCCTGCTCACCAGCTGTAGTATTAGTCCGCCAATACAGTAATCGGTTTTAGGGCTTAAATTCGTTACCATTTGAGTAAATATAAAGAAGGTTGTACTATTCAATAATTTTCCAAGTCTTATATTAAAGTTTCTAGTCATTTTAACAATTATTTAACATAATTGAAGTACAGGGAACTAGTTTTTAGCGCGCCAAACAGCCACTTGACTCACCCAAAATGGCGTCAGTGTGTGTCCCTGCTCAGTGGAGGAAGCTTCTTGCTTGAGTCTCACTTGAACGTAAACTATTTTTACGTTTTTACAGTACAATTATTGGTGATTCTGTAGTTTATTTCACATATTAACAATATATAATGCAGTGCAGTGTTGATTTAAAGAAAATAATCTTGAATTACACCAATTGAACTAAAATTTTATGGGTGAAATGGCGGCATGGGGTGACTTCTCTTCCACCCCAATGCCTTCTCTTCTCCCTTCTCCTCCACCCCCATTCTAATTCCCATCATCATCATCATCAACCAGGAGCCTTCTACATGCACACCTCAAAGTAAGTGTACTTTACTGCATTTATTTTTAGTTTGTACTGTAATTTTGTTAACGAACGACCTTCCGAACGAATTGTGTTCGTTAACCAAGGGACCACTGTATTGTAAAAAATGAAAAGATTATGGATATTTAGTACAGCTATACCCTTTAATACAGCCTAAAAACCTGGCTCGCTCTTCTCTTAGGTAATGTTCATTCTATCTGGAATTTTCTTCAAAATAATCCAGTCTCATCCACATTAAACACCTGATCTGATGATGATTGTACCTCTGAAAGTTTGTAAGTTGAACGTTCTTAAGTAGAGGAGCACCTGTATTTAAAATTACCCTTGAAAATCTTTTAAATCGCCCATAAAATACATGGTTATATTTCCCTATAATGCAATGTGGTTTAGAAATAAAGAAAATATAATATAAAACTATAAACTAAGAAAAAAGTTATGGAATTTTTAGGTTGACAGATCCCCTTCATTACTTGCCAAGTTATACTATTTGAAATGAATAATCTTAATTATTTTTCTGCTTCTTAAACTGTGATTTTTATGAATGGATAGTTAATTTAATGTTTGTTGATCATTAATATATATTTTTTCCACAGCTGATGACATGGGCCTTGGCAAAACTCTGGCTATGATCTCTTTAATTTTACGTCATCAAGAATTAGTTAAAGATGGAACTATTATTGAAGACTTCTCCTCAGTGAAAGACTCTGACAACGAAAGTGGAGATGATGACAACCAAAAGAGTGGTGGATGGATTCAAAATAAATGTGCAGGTATGGAAAAAATATTACAAATCTCTAAATATACAGTGGCCCTCGGTTAAAACTCAATCCGTTCCAGAAGGTCGTTTAACCGAAACGTTCGTTAACCGAAACCATTGTTTCAATGGGTTTTTGGGTAATTGGTTCCAGCTCACCGAAAATTTCCTAAATTCAACAAAAATGGTAGAAAAGTTCACTTACTTTGAGGTGTGTATGTAGAAGGCTCCTGGATGATGATGATGATGATGGGATTTAGAATGGGGGTGGAGGAGAAGGAAGAAGAGAAGGCATTGGGGTGGAAGAGAAGTCACCCCATGGTGCCATTTCACCCATAAAATTTTAGCTCTCTGGTTTAATTCAAGATTATTTTCTTTAAATCAACGCTGCACTGCATTATATATTGTCAATATATAAAATATATTTCAAAATGACCAATAATTTGCTTGGAAACACAGAAAAAAAGCGTTTAGTTGAAGAGAGTCTCAAGCAAGATGTTACCTCCAGTGAAAACAGAGAGAGACTGACGCCTGTTTGCTGTGTTAAGAGGCTGGATGCCGCGCATTAAACTAGTCACTTTACCTTCAATTTTGTTCAATAATTGTTAAAATGACTAAAAAATTGAATATTAAACTTTTAAAATTATTGAATAGTATAAACTTCTTGATATTTACAAAAATAGTAAGGAATTTAAGCCCTAGAACCGATTAATGTATTGGCGGACTGATACTAAAGCTGGTTGCCCGGTCAGTGCAAGCGAAAACATGTTGAGGTCGGTTCGTAAGAAGTTCGTTAAGCGAATTTTTTTTCGTTAACCGAATTGAAGATCCTTATGGAAGGCAGTTCGTTAATCGAAATTACGTTAACCGAGGTGTTCGTTAAACGAGGGGTCACTGTACCAGTAACAAAGTACTGTTTACTTGATCAAGTGGCTCTAACCATGCCATTCCTATCTGATTGAGTTTGTGAAGTAAATCTCATACAGTGAACCCTCGCTTTACGCGGTTTCACTTTACGTGTTTCTACATTTACGCGGTACCCTGCCAGAACCGGAATTCCCACTTTACGCGGTGCATCTACTCATATACGCGGGTGAAGTATAATTTTTTTATTTAGCTCATAAAATTCATACAAATTATCCGGCCAGAATATAATTTACATTGCTGGAATTCTTACAATTTGATGATCATTTTGAATATAAGCATCATAGATTTTGCATTAGACATACAAATTTTAGATCTAATGCAAGTATTTTGTTTACTCAGAGCAAATATGTTATCTTTTGTGCAAAATATATGACGTGTATATTCAAAATATTCCTGGTCTTGCAAGGAATCCAGCAATGTCAATTATATTATCCTAACTTTAGTCTGAGGTATTATTTATTACTAAAAATGTAAATATACTGTCGGAAAAAGTGGAGTTTGGGGATGGGCCAGTTTCTATTGGAATTAATCCCATATGTACTGTTGTTCACTTAACGCGGTTTTCACTTAACACGGTACCCTCTGGGTTTTATTGACCGCGTTAAGTGGGGTACAACTGTATTTCATTATTATTATTATTATTATTATTATTATAATTATTATTATAATTATTATTATTATTATTGTTATTATTTTTATTTTTATTATTTTTATTTTTATTTTTATTATTATTATTTATTATTTATTATTTATTTATTATTATTATTATTATTATTATTATTATTATTATTATTATTATTATTATTTATTATTTATTATTATCATCATCATCATCATCATCATCATCATCATCATCATCATCATTCCCCAGGCCTCGATGTGGGTCAGTGACCTGTGTCCGGGTGGGCTAATCCCCATAAAAAAAGAAAAAAGAAAAAAAAAGTCATTTGTGATATCCTTATATTTCAGGTCCATCGAAATGCCGTTCTCTAGTGCCATCCAGTGGCACATTGGTGGTGTGTCCAGCTTCCCTTCTTGGTCAGTGGCAGGGAGAAGCTCAACTGAGGGTCTCCAGGAGAAAATTGAAGATCCTAGTTTATCATGGGACCAACAGAGAGATGGATATCCGTTCGTAAGTTTTACTTTACTTTTTTATACATGCTTAGTACTTAGGTTGGAAGTTGGGTAGGGGGTGCTCATTATATGTTGAGGATGTATATTTTATCATTGATAATATTCCCCTTTGCTTTGATGACCATTTTAATTCTTCATGGCGTACTGTCAGCGATTTTTTTAAGTATTGTGGATCAAGGTCTTGTGTCCAGATACGCCTGATCTCGTCCGCCAGGTGCTTGGCAGATGAGGTATTGCTGTTTGGCCGCTTCCCCTTGAGATAATTCCAGGCATTTTCAATGGGATTCAGGTCATGACTGCTTCCTGGCCACTGTAGAACATCAGTGTTATTTTCCTGGAGCCATTTTGTCACTGTCTTAGCCTTATGGCAGGGGGCACTATCCTGCATAAACAAATTGCACCCCTACCAACTTTTCTACTTAAACAACTTCAGATCATAGCTGATTCACTGTTTCATGTTTTTAATGTGTATGCTGGGTTGTATCGGCTTCCCTCAACTGGTCGTCTCACCCTACCTGGGTGCCCTGAAATGCATCTGAAGGTGCTTTCATATGACCACATTACAGTAAGTCCTCGCTTAACGTTGTTTTGGTACTACGTTGCTGAAATTTGGAGTCCAAAAATTTTTTGAACATCCTTGTTATCCGATACTACGTTGTTTTGCATCGTCACAGACTACTTTCTATGGCGCAACACCCGCTCCTGTCTGGCCATGCTACGCTCTCAGCTCGGTGCGCTGCCCTCACTCACGGAACGTCGCAGCGTCCCCAAGTGACACCAAACCAGTCTCGGTTACAACTTCACATCATTCGTTTGTACTTAAGTGTTTTTGCTCTAAAACTGTACTCTAACCAATCAAAATGGCTTCCAAGCGCCCATCAAGTGCTTTTGATGCTAGTGTAGTGAAGAGGCAATGTAAGACCATTACTCTTGCTACGAAAATAGATGTATTAACCTGATTTGAAAAAGGGGAACGTGCTGTGGACATAGCTGCTGTGCTTGGTCTAACCCCCACAACGGTGCATACTATCCGGACCAACGCTGACAAGATTAAAGTTAGTGCTGGAACTGGTTCTTCTCTGAGTGCAACTAAGACGACTTGTGCTAAACGCACTTTGATAGAGAAGATGGAAAAGATGCTGGCAATGTGGATGGAGGACCAGAATCAATACAATGCCCCTGTGAGCCTTATGGTTATCCAGCATAAAGCCAGATTCTTGTTTGACTACTTAAAGGCAGAAGAGGGTGAAGGATCGAAGGAAGATACCTTTACAGCCAGCTGAGGATGATTTCAACGATTTAAGCGTCGATATAACTTCCACAACATAAAAATGACTGGTGAAGCTGCCAGCTCAGATACAGTTGCTGCCAAGACATTCCCGCCAAGAACGGAGGAGGAGTAAACAGCGGCGGAGGAGGAACAAGCAGCGGCGGAGGAACCCCATTCAGAGCAGGAGGAGGAGGAGGAGGAGGAGGAGAAGACAGAAGACAGCCGCAGAGTCTCAGTGATTCGCCACCCTCTTCCTCTCCCGCCCTCCTCCGCTCCCACCCTCCTTCACTCCCGCCATCCTCCTCCTTCGCTCCACTACCCACCACACACTCGCTCTACCACCTCTGCCCATCGGTGAGTACCAATAGTACAAACTTAGTACTGTAGTTCTATATACTATATTCTATAGAAATGGCAATGATTTTCTGAATATGTAACTTTTTTCATGGGGCAAAGGGAGGCTCAGGAATGTAACTCCTGTATTTTATCTATTTCTTATGGGGAAATTGATCCGCTTAACGTTGTTTCGCATAACGTCGCATTTTCAGGAACGTAACCCCGACGTTAAGCGAGGATGCCCTGCACCTTACCCCACTGTTCCGGTGTCCAGTCTTTGTAGGTACAGTTTTTTCTCGATTTAATGATATAATTCGAGCCACCCCTGTTCGTTAACCCCTAGGCCCTGGGTGACGTTCCAGAATGTCCGACCGGCGCGCCCGAGTGATGTTCCAGAACGCGCGCCTTTTCCCGCCACTGCTAAAATGCCCAGCGTGGGTTATCAGGTTCCCTTGTGACTATTTTCCTGTCACGCCACACCTCAGCCGCAGGGAAGCTTCCTGAACGTAATAACCTACTTTTGTTTGTTTTATTTTCATTATTTGTCTATTTTATCATGTTGTATCAAAGTAATATTGCTAAAAGTAGTGGAGTTGTATTGTAGGGTAGTGTTACTGTAAAATAATGCAATGATTATGTTATAAATGTATTTATTTGTGGAATTATTATTTTATGTATTACTTGCTCTACATATACATATATATATATATATATATATATATATATATATATATATATATATATATATATATATATATATATATATATATATATATATATATATATATATATATATATATATATATATATATATATATATATATATATATATATATATATATATATATATATATATATATATATATATATATACATATATATATTTCCAACATACATGGGGGTTGGGTAACAGAGATATCAGATTATTTATTGAATATTATTACTCTTGTCAGCCCCCCCCCATGTCATATTTACGTATATACACATGTGGGGTTTTTAAGACCAAATTATTTGACAAAAAATTGGGGGTTGACCTCTAAATGGGTAATAGTTTCATTAGGTTGAAAAATATTTACCAGTAAACAATGGAAATGATGCACCAACGCACCACCAGCTGTGAGTGTCGGTACAGTTGCCAGGGCAGATCTCTTGCGTCATCATAGCAAGCCCAAAGTAGCCAAATCCATGGTATGGTAGCACAGGATGATGTAAAACATAAAGTATTCATTTATTAAAGTTTATTTATAGATACTGGACATAAATTTTTGTTCATTACATTTGAAACATCAATCTTTGTTAATTAAATTTGAAACAAACGAAAACTACGATACCGTATTTTCATTAAAATATTATATCAAGTATATTTTACCATAACTGGGACTGAATGAATATATTCTCAGAAATAAATATGGAAATGTAATATTTTGGCTGAAATGACTTACATATTACATTGAAAAGTGGGATAAAATCATGACGAAAACAATGATGTTCGCTTTCTTTCGTTCAAAAGATGTTACCGTAATCGCTTTTCGAATGGTTTTCAGTTAAAAAACTGTTGCATCACAAGTGAATTAGGATAGAATATTATTGTAATACAACAGTTTTTTAACTTAAAACCATTCGAAAAGCGATTACGGTAACATCTTTTGTACAAAAGAAAGCGAAAGTCAATGCTTTCGTCACTTTCCACTGTAATACGTACGTCATTTCAGCAAAATATTACATTTCCATATTCTCGGAAATAAATAGTTTTGCTGAAACGTAATGCATTTCAATGTAAATTAGGATAAACTACATGAAAACAAAAGACTTTACCTAACTTTCCGATGTTCAAGATATGTTACTCGTTTTTTTAGTAGTTTTCGGTTAAAATACTCTTATATTAGTGATATTCTATTCACACTGTGCTTGATATAATACATTCACAGAAATGTAATATTTTTGCTACTACAATGCTGATGTCAACACAAGCGTGGTTACAGCGAGACTGACTGAGTGAGGGAGAGCTATGCGTGTGTGTGTAAGGTTGCGGGAGCGGTCGGTGTTCGGTGCCGCGTGCGAGTTGAATGGCGCGCGATTTGAAAGTACTTCTATTACTTCAATTTTCAGAATATTCCTCCGGCGGGGCAATCTGCGTATTTGCAAATCCGTGTATGCTAAACCCGCGTATGTTAAGGGCCGACTGTATTCCACATACACTTAAGTATAAATACAAAGTTTCTGTGATGATCGGACAACGTCCATTTCGGTTAACGTCATGTTTCCAAGAAGTATCTAGGACGTTAACCTTTGCATGACGTTATGGCATACCCTACTGTACCTAGATCACGCACACCTACAGTGATTTACTTGCATATATATATATATATATTATATACCTTTATATGCGTTATGGCATATATACTATAGTAGATACGCACACCTACAGTGATTTACTTGCATATATATATATATATATATATATATATATATATATATATATATATATATATATATATATATATATATATATATATATATATATATATATATATATATATATATATATATATATATATATATATATATATATATATATATATATATATATATATATATATATATATATATATATATATATATATATATATATATATATATATATATATATATATATATACATATACTGTATATATACATATACTGTATATACATATACTGTATACATATACACAGTGACCCCTCGTTTAACGAACACCTCGGTTAACGTAATTTCGATTAACGAACTGCCTTCCATAAGGATCTTCAATTCGGGTAACGAAAAAAAATTCGGTTGACGAAGTTCTTACGGACCGACCTCAACATGTTTTCGCTTGCACTGACCGGGCAACCAGCTTTAGTATCAGTCCGCCAATACATTAATCGGTTCTAGGGCTTAATTTCCTTACTATTTTAGTAAATATCAAGAAGTTTATACTGTTCAATAATTTTAAAAGTTTAATATTCAATTTTTTTAGTCATTTTAACAATTATTGAACATAATTGAAGGTAAAGTGACTAGTTTAATGCGCGGCATCCAGCCTCTTAACACAGCAAAGAGGCGTTAGTCTCTCTCTGTTTTCACTGGAGGTAACATCTTGCTTGAGACTCTCTTCAACTAAACGCTTTTTTTTTTGTTTCCAAGCAAATTATTGGTCATTTTGAAAATTATTTTACATATTGACAATATACAGTGCATTGCAGTGTTATTTTGAAGAAAATATTCTTTATTTACAGCTAGTTTAACTTTGAAAAATACGTGTTGCCATTGTTTGAATCCAGCATGGGGCCTAAGAGATCAAGAAAAGCAATTTCAATCCAAATAAAGCAGGAAATAATAAAAAAACACGAACAAGGCATTAAATCAAATGCGC